TTATGATCTGATACTTGTTATTTCCTTTCCTCTACTTACTTTATGTTTAGCTTCGGTTTCTCCTCCTGTTTCCACTGTCTTAATGTAGAGGTTTATATTGTGGATTTGAGATATTTTTAAATTTATTTTATTTTATTTTATTTCTTATAAATGTCAGGATTTAATCACAAACAGGAGCAAACCACAACAGAGTGGAAGGAAAGCAATTCAAAAAGCAAAAACAAAAGCAGTTACTGTGTAGCATCCATCTTAGGAAGACTGCTGGGGTTCTGGCTTGAGAACACGGAGTTCACATCCCCTCTTCAGCCCACAGAGCTCCGGCAGTGTGGGGGAATCCAGACATGCAGAGATGAGTCTATGGTTGTCATGAGTATAGAGGTCTTCAGAGTGTCATCCCGATCCTGGACAAACCGCTCATCTTTCAGGGCTGGGGCGAGTATGAGTCGGGTGATGTGCCTGTGGTCACGCCATCGGTCTGTAGTAGAATAATGTGGGGAGGGGATCATTAGCAGACAAAAAAATCAAATAACTCTAATTGAGGAAGGTGGTATGTCACGTAAGCATCATATGGAGAATATTTTACAAAATTTATGTAAGAAAACACAACTCGCTGACAGGACTCACTCACTGTAAAGGAAGAGGGAAGCCAAGAAAGCAGATTGCGTGTGAAATAGAGGGGAAGCTGGTTTAGAAGAACGCACGGCCAGTCTCTGTCACATGAGGTAACTCCTTCATCTGGGTTTCCTAGTAGCTGCTGAGGTGTGGTTCACTTTTTTTTTTAAAATAAAACACAGGCATTTATGGCTATGTCTTAATTTTCATTATTTAAAATAATTATCTGATTTCTCTTTTAAAGTTTAGAAGTGAGAGTTACCCTCTAACTCCAAGAAGACTTAACCTACAATTTTCTCTTCACTGCCTCACCTATATGTCCAACCACCTGGCAGGCAACACTGAAGTAGCACTTTCAAAAATGAGCTCTGATCATGGCAGAAGAATGTGTTCCATCTTTACAATAAGCATTAGCACCCTTCATCCAGTGACCCAAAAAGTACCCTCCATACCCCCTTCCGAACCTCCTGCATGTGTGCCTGCATATGATGATTTTTGACAGATATTCTCACACCATACCTCTTTCCAGAAACTTTTGATATGTCTCCTAGCTGACCGCAGGATGATTCTCTGTTCTCGTGTAGTGACTAAGGTTCTTCCATACTAACTAGAGTACTTTTCTAAAATCAAATTTCAACCCCTTCACTTTTGCAACCCTGTCTCCAATGATCCCAATTCGTTTTTGGTTTCATGAGTACACTATAGTGTTTGTGCCTTGGTAACATCACTCATGCAGTATTATTCCCTGCAGGGATCCTCTTCATCAGAAATACAACCTAAACAGGACAGAAGAGAAATCATATTTATCTTAAAGAGCTATACAATGTGAGCACACATGTCATCACCTCTAAGATCAGGGGGTGGGATATTGTCACCATCACCGGTACCATCCTTGCCTGTTCCTCTCTAATTGCATCTACCCACCCTCTCCCTTGGCTATTTTAACAGCTGTAATAGCATTCTCTGGGCTTGTGTAAATATAATTTTATCACCTATGCACAAATATTTAAAGAATGGAATGTTTGACTTTGCCTGGTTTTGAAATTCATATAAATGGAATCATACTGTAGATGTTCTCCTGTGATTTGCTTATATTGCTCAAATTATATTTTCAAGATATATCTACATGGATGCCTGTGGCTGTGTTACCATTTTATTGCATTGTAGCATCCCATTTTACAATATACTACAATTTGTTTAATCTACTGATGGAAATTTCAGCTGTTAGCAGTTGCTGGCTGCTGCAAACAAAGCTGTTTTTAATACTCTTATGCAAACTCCTAATTCACATATACAAAGATTTCTTTGAGGTCTATATCTAGGGGTGAAATTTCTTGAGTTATGAAGATGTAAGGGGTTGGTTTTCCCAAAAATGAGGTGTGCAATTGCTGTGGTTTTAGTATATGTGCTGCTGAAACGAACACATTTGCTATGGTTTTAATGATTGTCCTTTCCCAAACGCATGTGGAAATTCAATTCCATTGGAACAGTATTAAAATGTATTTGTTTATTTGAAAGGCATATAGATAGAAATACAGATCTTCTACCTGTTGGTTTACTCCCCAAATGCCAACAATAGCTTGGGTTGGGCCAGGCTAAAGCCAGGAGCCTCATGTGGGTGCCAGGTCTAATGTGGGTGGCAGGGACCCAACCTCTAAAGCCATCACTTGTTGCCTCCAAGGGTCTATATTAACAGGAAGGCAGGATTGGGGGCCGAGCCTAGACCTGAGCCCAGGCACTCTGTGTGGGATGGGGCATCCTGAGGAGTGGTTTAACCATGGTGCTACATGCCCACGCCCACCCTGGTAATGTTATCAAGTGATGGAAACTGAACAGAATTAGACCGTGAGGGCAGAATGGATCATACAGTGCTGTGGGAGTGAGTCTGTCCTTGCTGGAAATGGGACTTAGAGAAGACAAGTTCAGTCCCTCTTTGTCTGTCTCTTGCTCTCATTTTTGCCCTTCTGCTATGTCATGATACAGCGAGGAGGGCCTCTCAGTCTTGGACAGTCAGTCCCCAGAACCGTCAGCCAACACCTTTCTCTTCTTTATAAATTACCTAGTCTCAAGTATTGTATTATACTTTAATGTTTTAAAAGAGTATGTACACATTTAAATGACAGTGGGGTGGAGAGAGAGAGAGAATGTATGTATATATGGTAATTTCCACCTGGTAGCTCACTCCCCCGGTGAACAGGGCTGTTGTTCCAGATCCAACCCAGGAGCCTGGAATTCCATGTGGGTCTCCTATGTGGGCTGCAGGAGCCCATGTACTTGGGCCGTCATCCACTGTCTTCCCAGGTGTGTTAGCAGGGATCAGAAGGGGAGCAGCTGGGACCTGAATCCGTGCTCTGATAGGGGATGCTGGCATTGCAAGCAGCAGCTTAACTTGCTGTGCCACAGTAGTGCCCCTGGATTACATTATAGCAGCGGAAATGTACTAAGACAATAACTTTTCCCATCATGCCTGAGGGTTGCTGTAGCCCTGTTCTCTGATGCTTGTTCATAGAGGATGTCATGACAGTTAACTTCAGCTGTCAGCATTGTCGCTCCCCCTCTTTGTGGAGGAACGACACTAAACCCTGCCTAGGTTTCCTATCCGAGTCACGGCACCATTATGTCGCTCCCCCTCTTCGTGGAGGAACGACACAGGACCCTGCGCTGTTCTTTTGTCTACTCGGCCCTTCCCGGGTTTGCTGCTGGTTCTTCCCGGGTTGGCTACCGACCCTTCCACCTCCGTGGAAGGGTGGTTCCCCCTGCCACTTTCCCCACTTCCGCGGGGGAGCGGCACACCGCCGGCCGGCTCTCTTGGGGGCTGCTCAGGTAGGTGTTCCTTCAGATAGATGTTCCTGGTGCATGTTGTCTCTCTCCTCCAATCCCAACTCTGCTACCCACATGCCGAGTACGCTGCTCTCCTCCAATCAGGAGCGGGATCAGCTCCTGCAGGTTACTGGTTGAACTGGAGGCAGCTGTGTAAAAGCTGTTTACTCCTCTCCCAGCGCCATATTGTGGGAGAGCAGATGCATAGAATAAGTCTTAATTCCAGTAACAGTCTAGTCCGAGTTGCTCCCTACAAGCATGACTGGATTAAGGGATACCCAGATAATTGATGAACGTTATGAGTATTTCTGGGTGTGTTTGTGAGGATGTTTATGGAAGACATTGGAGTATGAGCCCCTGGACAGTGGAGGAAAATGTCCCTTCTCAATGTGGGAAGACACCAATCAAACTCCCTTGGGACAAGATCATATGAAAAGACAGTGGAGGGGTGAATTCTCTCGGTGTGCCTCTCACTGTCTCTTATGGAGCTAGGCATCTGCTTCTGCATTTGGAAACTGAGCTGTAGATGGTGGCTTTAGACCCCAGGCCGTGTACCCATGGCCTCCTGAGTTCTCGGGCTGTTGCCCTACGACTGAGGCTTGAGCCACTGACCTCCCTGTTCCACAGGCTTTTAAATTTGGAGTGATCCATGCTACCAGCTTGCCTGGGTCTTCAGGCTACAGATGTCCTGTTGTGCTATTCTCACCCTTTATAATTCAGTGAGCCATTGCCCATGATAAACCTCCAACCCCCAAGTCTGTCTATCCATCTGTCTGTTCACTCTGTCCCTCTGAAGAATTCTAAGAAAATGTCTTAACATTTGCCTATTGCTTAGCAGTGGTCTCTTTTGCATTTATTTTGTGTTTTCAGAGTGACAATAATGTTGAACAAAGCTTCACACGTTTGTTGGCAAGTGGAATTTTTTCAAAGATTTATTTTATTTATTTGAAAGACAGAATTACAGAGAGAGGTAGAGACAGAGAGAGAGGTCTTCCACCTGCTGGTTCACTCCCCAATTGGCTGCAATGGCTGGAGCTGCACCTATCCAAAGCCAGGAGCCAGGAGCTTCTTCTGGGTTTCCCATGTGGGTGCAGGGGCCCAAGCACTTGGGCCATCTTCTACTGCTTTCCCAGGCCACAGCAAAGAGCTGAATGGGAAGAGGAGCAGCCGGGACTCAGACTGGCACCATATGGGATGCTGGCACTTCAGGTCAGGGCCTTAACCCGCTGCACCACAGCGCCAGCCCCGACAAGTGGAATTTTTATTATGTTCAGTGGCTGTTGAAGTCTTGCTCATTTTTAGCTAGATATTTAATTTTATTCTTATATACTTTATGTGCTTATTTATATATTTTTTATAAATTGATGGCTTACATATTCACAATGCTCATGGTATTTTGGTGCTGACAACCTATTTTTGTTGTAAATATATCAGTATTTATCTTTAAAATGTTTTCTATGGCTATCTTAAGAAAGTTTTCATCTAAGGTCTTGATAAGTTCTGATATGATTGTCTATGAAGGTCAAAACATTCCCTTTAGAATTCTGGTTTAGAATCCATCAGGAATTGGGTGGCTTTGTTGTCAGATGGGGTCTGACTTCAGGTTTTCCATGAAGATGAGCCCTCGTTGCATCACAGTTACTCCCCAGTGATGGACGCAGGACCCCCTTCCCTGCCTCTGGGCTCTTGGCTCCCTCTGCTGATCCCCTTCAGCGGCTGCGATCGGTGTGTTCAGTGAGCGTCACTGCAGAGTAAGTCTTCCTGTGTGGGTCAGGCTCGCCTCTCCATCTGTCCCCCTCTCACTGCCTAGCACTTACCGAGGTGTGGAGGGATCAGTGGATCATTCTGCTCATACACAGACACATAAATAAACAAGAAATTGGGAAAAAAAAGCTTTCCTTAGGTTTGATGAAGACTTTAGATAAAGTCATGGAAAAGTGGAATTTCTAAAATAATGAATCTTGCAAACCATCAGTACCCTGTTCCAGTTCGTTATATGATGTGATGTCTGTGCCTGTGTGTGTGTTTCAAGATTCAATATTAATAAAGGTCTTATAAAAGTCTTCCAAGTATTTCATTAGATTTACTTCCAGATTATTTATAGTCTTCATATTATTATAAATCATATCTCTTTTAAGCTCCCTTTATTTGATATGTAGACAAGTAAAGGCTTTTTGAATATTGATTTCTAAAAAATATTGCTATTATATCCAGTCTTCTTATTATTTACTTTTATTCATTGTAATACTTGATCCATATTTAAAATTTTTCTATTATGCAACCAAATCACATGCATAAGATATAGTTTTTTTCTCTCTGAATCTCATGCATTTTAAAATTTCTTTCTTGCACTTTACAGTCGTAGCTCAAATGTTTGATACGTGCTTAATAGGAGTCAGAAGCATGCATCTTTATTTTGTTCTTTACCTCAAAGGCAGTTTTTGTTGATGTCTTTTATCAAGTCACAGAAATTATTTTTTAAAATCTAATTTCCTTTTTTAAAAAAAGATTTGTTTATTTATTTGAAAGGCAGAGATATAGTGAGAAGGAGAGAGAGAGAGAGACAGAGAGAGAGAGAGATCTTCCATCTACTGGTTCACTCCCTAAATGGCTGCCATAGCCAGGGCTGGGCCAGGCTGAAGCCAGGAACCAGGAACTTTTGGGTTTCACACATGGGTGCAGGTGCCCAAGTACATGGGCCATCTTGTGCTGCTTTCCCAGGCATATTAGCAGGGAGCTGGATAGAAAATAGAGCACCTGGACCTGAAACTGGCACCCATATGGGATGCTGACACTGCAGACTGAGGCTTAACCTCCTATGCCACAGCACTGGCCCCAAATTCTAATTTTCTAATAGTAATTATTTCACTTCTGTCTGTTTAATCTCAAATGAAGTTTATGTATGAAATGTCTTTTTTCTGCATCCGTTGCTAAACCAAAATTTTTGATACTTTAATCAGTTGTTAATAATATTAATGGATTTTTACTTTTTTTAAAGATTTTTTATTTTATTTATTTGACAGGTAGATTTATAGGTGCAGGGTCTTAGTCCACCTGTACAGGATGGACTGGGCCTGAGGAAAGGTACGTGCACCGCTCGGCCGTGTCCCAGCCTCGCGAACCCAGAGACAGTCAGACGCAGCGGGAGCCACGTCACGCAGGGACTCATTTATTTCCCGTGTAACAGAGCCTTTTAAAGCACAAAACTGCAATCACTGGGGCAGGGCATAAGGACCAACCAATCACTTAAAAGATCATTTTACGGGGCAATTCTTATAGGACTAGCCACATGTCTGTACACTCGTCATTAGTTGTCGTCACTTCCCCCGATGCTGTGTAGCCAATCAGTGTTTGTGGTAAACAACTTTGTGTTCTGCCCACCTTACTTCCTTTGGGCGCCATCTTTGAATTACCTCGTGTGCCTAATTTCCCCGCATATAGACAGTGAGAGGGAGAGACAGAGAGAAAGGTCTTCCTTCTGTTGGTTCACTCTCCAAATGGCCCCAACAGCCGGAGCTGCGCCGATCCAAAGTCAGGAGCCAGGTGCTTCCTCCTGGTCTCCCAAGTGGGTGCAGGGCCCAAGCACTTGGGCCATCCTCCACTGCACTCCTGGGCCACAGAAGAGAGCTGGACTGGAAGAGAAGCAACCAGGACTAGAACCCGGCACCCATATGGGTTGCTGGCACCACAGGTGGAGAATTAACCTAGTGTGCCACGGCACCAGCCCCATATTAATGGATTTTTAAAAAACATAACATCCATATTGCATTTCTGAAATGAGCCTAATAATATCATGCATGGCCCTTTGCATACACTGTTTTATTTGTTTTACTGGTCCTAGATACAGAGTTTTGCATTCGTATTCACAATAATATTGATCTTTCTTCCACACTCCTGCACTGTTTCACCTGCCCTGTTCTACATTTAGACTCCTAAAAAGAAATCCAATGCAGGTAGATGTAGATGTCGTTTATTAATCTGGCAGACGTATAGACACGTGGGGAGTGCTTTAGGCACTGCAGCACTAAATACGCAGTGTGAATGCTGACATAAATTCTAGCGTATTTCTTACATTGGGAATATAATTTGAATTATGATTTCGGGGCTTTGGAAAGATTGAACAAAATTGCTGCTCCTTTATTAAAATCTCCATTGACTGCTGGTGTGGGAGAGGGTCAGGTGCTGGGTCTCCGTAACCATCCATTTTATGGGGGTTGGCTCCTCCGCTTGTCTCTGACGGCAAATGCTTTGAAGTGAGACACACAGGTAGTGCAAGTGCCTGCATCACGCAGTTCTGCTTGCCAGGGAGGGGGCATTCTTCACTGCACGGTTCTCACGTCTGTGTACTCATGCTTGTCTCCAACTAACAATCTTTCAGATTAATCTTCCTTTCCAGGGAAATATTTGATCAAATTGAAAAATCTCGGGCTATAAATCTGTAAATATTTGGTAGCCCAACTGGCTGAATCACTGATTCATTCGCCCACTCACTCTTGTGCTCGTATGTTCTTTGAGCACTATAGCACTGTGGCATGCAGAAAACGAGTGGGCAGTTTTTCACTAATTCTCTTACCCCAAACTGCTTTCATGATGGTTGTCCATCTGTGCCCCCTGCTCTGACTGGGATCAGCCCCCAGTCAAGGTCATTCCAGATTTTGCTTCCTTTCTCCAGCACAGGAGGGGGTGAATATTGATGCTTATGGTGGTGGGTCATATCTGAGCATCCAGCTGCCCCTTGGATGGACTTTTATTTTAAAGATTTATTTATTTATTTATTTGACAGAGAGAGAGAGAGAGAGAGAGAGAGAGGTGTCTTCCATCTTCTGGTTCACTCCTCAGATGGCTGCAACGGCTGGAGCTGAACTGATTCGAAGCCAGGAGTCAGGAGCTTCTTCCAGGTCTCCCATGTGGGGGAAGGGGCCCAAGCACCTGGACCATCTTCTACTGCTTTCCCAGGCCACAGCAGAGAGTTGGATTGGAAGTGGAACAGCTGGGACTAGAACTGGCACCCATATGGATTGCTGGCACTGCAGGTGGCAACTTTGCCTCCTATGCCACAGTGCCAGCCCCTGGATGGACTTTCAATTAGTCCTTCTGTTTCCCTTCCAGTCCAGTCTTCTCCCTCACCCATCAGAATATGCCAGGGTTCTGAGGAGTAATCACTGTGCTTATGTTACTCATCACTGCTGTTACACTTCATGCACTTGCCATCTCAGCACTCATCGTCTGCCATTCTCAGCTCTTCTCCTACCCATCCAGCTGTTTTCCATCCACAATGATTTTGAAGAGAGAAAAACCCATGTCTTGCACACTGTCATGAGCTCAGTCCCAGGAACTCAGGAGAGTCCCACGGTAAAGGGCCAAGGGAGGAGCCAGTGTGTGGCGCTGTGCCACAGCAGGTTAAACCACTGCCTGCAGAACTAGCATCCCATATGGGCGCCAGCTAAGTTCTGGCTGCTGCACTTCTGATCTAGCTCCCTGCTAAAGCACCTGGGAACGCATCAGAAGATGTATCCAAATGGGAGATCCTGGTTCCTGTCTTTGGCCTGGCCCAGCCCCAGCTGTTACGGCCATTTTGTGAGTGAACCAATAGATAGATGCTCTCTCCCTATCTCTCCCTTCTTCTCTCTCTGTAACTCTGCCTTTCAAACAAATAAAATAAATCTTTTAAAAAGGCCAAGAGAGATTGTCTAGTGGCTATGGCAGGGGAAGAATAGGTGTATGTCGTGAAGTAGCCCTAGAATATTCTCTATTATGTTGATGTAGAAGCTAGGGAAAAAAACATTTCCAGAGACTTATCTCACTTTGACATTTCCCCTGCTCCAGCCCCTTCTGCCTTTTCTGCATCATTGAAGAGGACAAAAAAGGTCAGAACCCTGGGCAGAGGCCCCTTTTAACATTGAGCAGTAACCTCAAGATTCTAGACTGTTTCCCCAGAGTCACTTCTTGCTGCCACACCAACAGTGCTCTGGCGTAACAGCGAATGCAGATGGAAGAACTGAAACAAACAGATTCTAGTTGAGGTGTTTCTGGGGAAGCTCAGAGACCACACGGAAGGCCAAAACAAGGCCAGATGTTCAGCTCAGCTCTCAAGAAAGCATTATGAGCTATAACAACGGAAAGAAAAGAAAATGCAACCTGAGGAGAGAAAGCGCGTATCCGAAGCAGACTCTGAGATGGCACTGATGACAACTACACTGGACGTCTAAGATGTCCGTTATTCATATGGTGAGGATTCTCATGGAGAAAGTAGGCAACATGCAAGAGAAGACAGATAATGTAAGCAGAAAGATGAGAATTCTAAGGAAGAAGCAAAAGGAAAAGCTATAAGAATATTTTGAATAACTTACAGTAGACTGTACACTGAAATATAAAACAGTCTAAAAATAACAGAACACCCCCAAACAGTTAGATATTAAAAGATGTAACACGTGTAAATGGAATATCAGAGGGAAAATGAGAGAGAGCAGAGATAAGGAAATTTGGAATAAGGACCAAGAATTTACATAACTAATGAGAAACATCAAAAGAGTGATCCAGGAAGCTCATATAACACCAAACAGGATAACCAAATACCAAATAAAAATTTGAAACGTGTGTGCTCACAAAATGAAGATGGCCGCAGTGCCAACGAGTGACATCATTTCATGGGAAGACTCTCATATGTGGCCCACCATTAGTCAGAAAACTGTTTTGTAGCACATATACTTATACCTTGATAAGATAAATAACGCTGGAGTAGTTGTCATAG